ACAGAGAAGATAGACCTAGAATGCAAGTCTCTGGGCTTGCAGCCTGATGCTTTAATTTGTCACCCAGATGTCATCCAGAAGAAAAACCGGGCCTTTCTCCTCACTTGAGAATGGCCAGGCCTGCCTGCCAGAGGGAGTCTAGGGCAAGTCCTATGAGCTGGGTTTGCTGCTGGAAAGAAGCAGCTTCCTCCTCTCTCGGCAGCCTAGGCCAGAGAGCTGGCTCCATCCTTTGTTCCCTTAGCCCCTGGGCTCAAGGCAAGACTTCTGGTAGAGACTCGGGCAGTATTCCCGCAGAATGCTTCCTCATTCTGTCTGGAATGAGGAAGGTGAAGTTGGTAAGGAAGTGCTCTGGGAGAGTTCCCAACCCTCTTTCGGCTTCTTCTCTGCTGTTATAACATCCAGAGTAGGTACCCTAGGGGCGCCTGGCCGGCTCAGTCAGTAGAACACAAAACTCTTGATCTCAGTGTCATGAGTTCAAGCCCCATGTTGGGCCCCACATTGGGCCTAGAGCTTAGTTTAAAAAAAAAAAAAAAAGGTACCCTAACTACAAAGGGTTAAGGATTCTGGGGGCTACAGCCTAGGGAAAATGAGAGCCAGCTTGATGGTCAGGAAGTGATGTCCCTCCTCCCACGCTGTATGTCAGCCTCAGTACCGGAGCCCCAGGCTGTGCAGGCCTGCAGGGAAACTTGGACCAGGCTGTGTATGGAGCCCTCTGCCCCTCTGTGCCCCCTCACTGCTCTCAGCAAGGTATTCATGGCTTCCCTGGCTGCGTGTCCCGAGGCCCTGACTGCCCTCCTCCTGAGGACCGTTATCTCCCCAGGAGTCACTGGGAGCAGGCCCATTGGTGACTTCTGGTAGAGACTCGGGCCCTTGTAACATTAGAGCTAGGACAAGTAAAGGGGGCCGGGAAGTAGGGAAATGCATCCTCTGAGCCAGAGTGGAAAGCCCTTTCTGATTTGGTGACTCACTTTGAAGGGAGGGTTGGATTCTGCTGCTGAGGAGTGACTGGTCCCTCAGAAGCAGGGAATGAGGAAGGTGAAGTTGGTAAGGAAGTGCTCTAGGAGAGTTCCCAACCCTCTTTCGGCTTCTTCTCTGCTGTTATAACATCCAGGGTAGGTACCCTAGGGGCGCCTGGCCGACTCAGTCAGTAGAACACAAAACTCCTGATCTCAGTGTCATGAGTTCAAGCCCCATGTTGGGCCCCACATTGGGCCTAGAGCTTAGTTTAAAAAAAAAAAAAAGGTACCCTAACTACAAAGGGATAAGGATTCTGGGGGCTACAGCCTAGGGAAAATGAGAGCCAGCTTGATGGTCAGGAAGTGATGTCCCTCCTCCCACAGCCTCTCCTTGTCCTCTCAGGATGGGGCCCAGCCCTTCACCCACACAGCTCAGAAGAGGCTCATGGAAAGGAGGGTGTAGGCTCTCACCTTGGGTATTGAAGTTGCCCTGTGATCCCACAGCAGAGGGAAACCTGAGTCTGGAGGCAAGGCAGACAGACATTTAACATTCCCTTCCATGCCCTGTGCTCTGGGTCAGCCTGGAAACAGGTAGAAGCCTCTGGGAGACTGGTCAGGTGATACCTGGAGCCTGTCCCTTCTGTCAGCCACCTGAGCCTCACATGTATCCCTGACTTGGCTCCAAGTTTACTGAGGTGAGAGTTCTGTTCTTTACCCAGAGCCAGAAGCTAGAGCTGTGGAAACTGAAAGGCATGACTCTTTATCATTATTCTTTTTCTCATGCCCAGAATGCTACCCAGCCAGGCAGTCATAGGCTGACAGACATACTCATGGGGCTCCAGAGGCCCAAGCATGTTGGGTTGGTCTGCGGGTGTTGAATACTTTCTAAGGAGGTACTAAATTGGATTTGGCCAGAAGCATGGCCCTGGGTGAGTGTGGAAAGCCTTGCATTTCCGTGCTGAATGCTGTTCGAGGACTTGGCAGGGCTCCCAGGGGCCACCGTTCTGATGAGCATTCTGAGCCCCTGTCTCGCTGTCAGTGGGCTGGGTTGAGGACCACTTTCCTGTGTTTGGCTCGCCTGCCTTCCTGCTGCTAGTTCCTCAGTGTGTGGGGGTTAGGCTGGGTGCCATTGGCACGGCCTGATTCTCAGGTCAGGATGGCTCAAGTCACATTGGCTTGGGGGTCCCACCTGGCCCAGCTGTCCACAGCTCTTCAAAGATGAGGAGAGCGCAGGGCTGGCCCTCAGACAAATGAGTTCGTCAGCATTCTGCACACAGCTGTGTGTACACAGTAATTGGAGAGGCAGACGTCTTGGGGAGCAGGAGGTGCAGATCAGTCTGGCTCACTTTGTCACTAACGGGCTGGCCGCTCGGTGAGCAGCAGGGGTCGATGCCTGGTGTGAGCCTGTGCCACTCTGGAGATGGAAGTGCTTAAGCTCCCAGGATAGGTCTGGTGAGAGGCCCACCGAAGACCGCACTGGACTAGTCTGGAGCTGCAGGGGGCCTTCGTTTGACTGGGTGTGGATGTGAAGTGGGGGTGCCTCTGATCCATCCATTTTTAGGTTCCTGGCTTGTAAGTCTAGCTTCACCATTCTTTATTCTCTTGTTGGCAGAGGAGTTGCCCCTCTTCTGTCTTGGCTAGACCAAGGGGCAGGGGCAGAACCCATGTGCCAGCTCTGTTTGGCTCCCCTGGGCTGCCCATTCTGTCTTTGGGCTGGCGCACCAAGAGGCCGGACTCAGCTGCACTGTGTTACCCAGTGATTTCCCTTTTTCCTGGAGACCAGAAGAGCTCGTAGGGCAGCACAGGTATTCCCATGACCCAGCCTGCTCAGCTTTCAGGTTTTGCTCTGTCCATCTGCCCCATTATGCCTGCCTCTTTCCATCTCTTTTAAGTGAGCGACGGGGGCTACAGTGAGTGTCTGCGGTTTATCCGGGCTGGCCTCTCGTGTTCAGGTGGCAGCAGCCAGCCATGAGGCTTTCTTGACCTCTGAGCCAAAACCCGCTGTGGCAACTGTCTAGTCCAGTCACGCTGTATGTCAGCCTCAGTACCGGAGCCCCGGGCTGTGCAGGCCTGCAGGGAAACTTGGACCAGGCTGTGTATGGAGCCCTCTGCCCCTCTGTGCCCCCTCACTGCTCTCAGCAAGGTATTCATGGCTTCCCTGGCTGCGTGTCCCGAGGCCCTGACTGCCCTCCTCCTGAGGACAGTTATCTCCCCAGGAGTCACTGGGAGCAGGCCCACTGGTGACGAGGACCCTGTCAGGTGGCTGGTCAGGAGTGTGGTCTGACATTTTCTACCAGTTCAGTTTAGTGGAAGTTGAGATTTGCCTTCCGAAAAGCAGGTTAGGGTAGCATCCGCAAGTAGCCCCACCCCTTCTTCAGAACTCCAGAAGAGTGTTCTCCTTGGTGCCCCCTCCACCCCCTGTATATAAGTGGGGAAGGGCATTGGGGAAGAATTGGAGGTCAGGGAAGCTGAACTGGGGGGGGGGGGCATCTGGGTGGCTTAGTCAGTTGAGCGTCTGCCTTCAGCTCAGGTTATGATCCCAGGGTTCTGAGATCGAGCCCCGTATCGGGCTCCCTGCTCAGGGGAGAGCCTGCCTCTTTCTCTGCCTCTGCTGCTCCCCCTGCTTATGCTTGGTCTCTCTCTCTCTCTGTCAAATAAATGAATAAATCTTAAAAAAAAAAAAAAAAAAGCTGAACTGGGGGGTAGCAGTAGTCAGTGTGAAATGTATCTGCTGAAGGGGTGTGCAGCTGCCCCGAATGTGGGCTCTGAGATACTCCTGAATCCCCCTGGAGAGTGAGTTCAGGAGAAGGGAACCTTTAGGTGGAACAGGCAGACCTCATTTGGCAGGAAGGAGGGTGATGGTGCCCGTGACATCCCAGCCAAATCTTCTGCAGCAGGCTCAACAAAGGTCCTAACCGCCCCCCCTTTGGGAATATCCGAGCACGTGCCACAGGGCCCCCAGAAGACAGGGACTCAGAATGGCACTGTGTCTGCCCTCCTCCAGCAGAGGGGCTCGAGGGCCTCTGTATGCCTGGCACCGGGCACGGGGGCTCATCCAGCTTAGCATGGTCTAATGGGAACGAACAATCAACTTGCAATCACTGGAATAATTGCTTAGCTCTGGGGGCTAAGAGAAAGCCTGAGTAAGTGTCCTTTACCCTGAGAACCTAAGGACTCCACCAGGTGAATGTCTGTACAAGCTGTCCAGACTGAGGCCTGGGACAGACAGCTGCTTGGCGTGTGGCTGAGATGCAGCAGCCACGGGGGCGTGCAGCAGAGCAGGCTTGGTGCAGTGTCCCCCTGAGGACAGAAGGTACCAAAAGGAGGCTGGTGCAGAGCACTGCCAGCCCCGCTCCCCTGCCGCCCCGTGTGGTTCCAAGAGGTCATGAAGACTGGAAGGAAGGTCACCTGGTCCCTCCTGTCCCCCAAGAGCTCCCCTGCCCTCTCAGCAGATAGAGAAATCTAGTTGCCTTGAATTATTTCCTTTTCTCCCCATGGCCGAGAGGCGGAGGCTGATCTGGGCAATGCATTCGTCGTCCATCTCCACTTTGTCAGTCGGATGGAGGATGGGTCCTCTCTTTAAAGACTAGGAAGTTCCCTGCTACGTAACCTGGTATGGCCATCCTGGGTTGGGACCTTAAGTCTGGCTCAGGATATGGTAGAAAGTTTGGGTCATCCTCTTTACATCCCCCTGAGTTATAGTGATCCTGGGGTAGCTGGCGGGTCTTGATAAGGGCCACCTTCCGGAGCCAGGCTTTGAGTCCAGGGCACTTAGGAGTTTGCTGCTTGGGGAGGGGAGCAGGTCCTTCTCCTATTTGTCGTGTGGACTCCTTACTCAGAACAGCCGCTGCTTGGTGGCGTGGGCCGGTGTTGGGTGGGAGGGGGAGGCCCAGAACGCTGCACTTGGGAGGAGCCGGGCAGGGCCTTTCTCCAGGGGGAGAGTGCGGGAATGCAGGACGGTTCTCAGTGCCGTGCTGGTGGCATCGTCAGGATGGGGAGAGCATGTTGAGTGCTCTTGCTCTAATGCTTGTCCTTGGCCTCTAGCCCTGGCCCAGTGTGTCCAATCTGGCCAAGGACTTCATTGACCGCCTGCTGACAGTGGACCCCGGCGCCCGCATGACTGCGCTGCAGGCCCTGAGGCACCCATGGGTGGTGAGCATGGCAGCCTCTTCATCCATGAAGAATCTGCACCGCTCCATCTCCCAGAACCTCCTCAAACGTGCTTCCTCACGCTGCCAGAGCACCAAATCAGCCCAGTCCACGCGTTCCAGCCGCTCTACACGCTCCAACAAGTCGCGCCGCGTGCGGGAGCGGGAACTGCGGGAGCTCAACCTGCGCTACCAGCAGCAGTACAATGGCTGAGCCGCGGGGCTGCGGTGTGGACGGGCCGCGGTCCCAGCTGGGCCATGCGTTGCCGGGCCCCTGGGGCCCCATGCCCTCTCTGGAGATGGGCCTGTATGGCCAGTGGCAGGTGAATGGCCCCCGCCCCTTCCCTGTCCCTTCAGCAGCCCCCATCCTCATCCTGGGCCTGACCCTGGTGTGAGAGTGGAGGGAGCCTAGGGGTCTGTGAGCGCTCTGAACTGGGAGCCTGGCCTGGCACCAGGGCTCTTTTTGGTGGGCAACTGCTCTGCTAGAAGTTGGGGAAGGGGTAGGACATGGCCTTCAGGCTCCCTCACCCCTTGGCTCTTCCCCAAGACCAAAGAGGCATGTAGTGCCGGGCAGAGGGTGTCCTGTGGTCCCAGGACTCTTTGGGACAGTTACTTCTGAAACCCTCTTCACTGAACCTTCTCTGGCCCCCCATATTCCATTGCATCCTGATCTGTGCCCCAGTGAGAGGCCAGGGAGGCACAAAGCTTGTGCCTCAGCTGGACTCTCAGCCCCTGGCTAAGTCCAGACAGTCCCCCACCTCCCACCCAAGATCTGCCTTCCTTCATGGTGCCTCCAGGGACCCCTCCTGGCCCCAGGACTGGCTAGAACCTCTGATGGTAGGGCCATGGCATGGTCCTTGGCCCTTCTTGACTATGTGGCCATGTTGGTAGCAGGCTTGTTCCAGGCTCCAGCCTCTCTCTGCCAGTGAGAGACCTCCTGCCCACCAGCCCACTGCTCTCAGTGCCTTCTTTGCAGAGCCCGCTATATACACTTCTCCCCCCACCTTGGATGCCCATTCTATTCCCTGGGTGCCTCCTTCCCAACTGTGGGGGATTAAAGGGAGCCCCACTGCTGCTACCTGGGGAATGGGGGCACCAGGGCCAAGGCAGGGGCCAGGGGCTTCCCAGGGAGCGCCCCATCAAGATTCCAGTGTCAGCCCTGGTTCCACCCTTGGTACCGCGCATTGCCCCTTCCCTTCAGGCTCTTCTGTTCCCTCCTCGAAACTGCATGAGGGCGCCATCTAGTGTCTGACATGAGTATGGGCAGCCTAGGACTGACCACTGCGCTCATCCTTCATCCTCTAGAGAAAGTGGGAAGGAGCTGCTGTAGTGAGGAAAGGTCCCCAGGCTGCTCAGCACTCCCCTTCTGCTGAGCTGCTGCGCAGCTCCAGTTGGAACTTAGCCGTACTGTGTGACCTGCCTCTGAACCCTGAGTGCCTGGGGCCCTGGCCTTCTCACAGCTGGCCTTGCCTGGTCCAGCCTGGCCCTGCTTTCTTTCACAGCATTACCCTTCCAGCTTGGGCTCTGCTGCATCTCAGGCTGGAGGGAGCCCCTGCAGGAGGTGGGTGGAATTGGGTGGCTGCTTTCCCAGAGGCCTGAGCCAGACCATTCCGATGTCAGTCATGGTGCCTCCCCTGCACCCCCCACCCCAAACCAGGCTGGAACCCAAGTCCCCTTCCTCCACAGCTGCTTTCAGTGGGTAGGAAGGAGCTGGGGCCCAGCTTTAGCCTTAGCTAGACTGCAGGGCCTCTGCCAGGGAGGGATTGGCCCTCACTGTTGCTCCCAGTGGGTAGCCTTGGGCCAGGCTCTCCTCTTTCTGCATGTGCCACCTCCAGTGAGAAACAAAGCCAAAGAGACCACTCTGGGCCAAGCCAGTTGTGCCTTATACATCTCCTCCCATCTCCAGTGCTCCTGGCACAAGGCAGCAGAGAGCCCAAGTCCTGTGGCCTCAGAATTCCCCCCATTTCCCCAAGTGCCTCGGGGGCCTGAAGCCCTGGGGATTTATTTCCTCTCTTGTCCAAGGTAGGTCTGGTCCTAAGGGTAAGATAGAGGGCATTTGGAGATTGGGCCTTTATGCCATGGACCATGGCTGGAGAATGTGCAGTTATTTATTTTGTGTACCCCGGTTGTAAATGTATCCTCTGTATTCAATAAACAGGCTGCCCTCCCCAGGGAAGGCTCCCCATCCATTCTGACAGCCCAGGCTCCTTGCTGTGGACCAGGGGGTTACCTAGGAAGAGGAGAGATGGGGGGCCTGGCCTTGGCATGGCTACTCTAGGAAGATCTGACTCAACATCTGCCATGCCAGAAGTCAGAGTCCCAAGTGGGGAGGGGGACTCCCGAGAGTCTCTCCTTTCCCTTGAAAGGACAGACAAGAATACACAAGAGGACAGAGCATGGGGTCTTTATTGGATTGAGGTGGGGAGAGGGCCTGTGGTAGGCTTAGTTGTAGGCTGTGACCTGGTTGATCCAGGTGCTGAACTTACTAACCCGAGTGTATATGGCAGGCTGGCGCACGTTGCAGTTGCTGGTACCCCACGAGACGATGCCAGTAAGCACCCATGTGTTCCCTTTCTGGCAGACGAGAGGGCCTCCGGAGTCTCCCTGAGGGAGGGAGAGGAGAGTAGTCAGCGTGGGGATGAGGGGGTGCCACAGGGCGGTGCAGAGGACAGGACAGGGGGCTGATGCTCACCTGGCATGAGGAGGCCCCTGCGCCGCCTGCACAGATCATGGAGTCGGTGATGCGTGAGCCCCAGTATTGCCTGCACTGATTCACGGTGACCAGGGGCAGAGCCACCTGCTGTAAGCGCACTGGGGTCGTATTGCCTAGGGGCCAGAAGGGGATGGTTGGGCCCTGGATGACTGCTTCCCACCCTGGCCCTCTCACCCAGATCTTTGGCCCGAGTTCCTACCCACGCCGCTGAGGCGTCCCCAGCCAGTGGTGGCGCACTTGAAGCCTGCAGGCAGCGCCTCATCTGGGGAAGCCAGGCAGACTGGTGAGACGCGTTTTGTGTACCGGGCAGGGGAGGCAAGCTTCAGTAGTGTCAGGTCATTGTTTAGGGTGGTGGGGTTCCAGAAAGGGTGCGTGATGGCCTGTGGAACCAGGAAGGGGCCAGGTAGGATGGTGGTGCGCATAGGCCCCCCAGGGTTGATGGTTGCTGAGGGGGCTAGCTTAGGGCATGCCCTGAATTCCTCATCCCCAGAGGCCCCCGCCCCGGCCCCGTCCACTCTTCCTTTCCATGTCTGTAGCCTAAATACTCACCTTTGAGATGGACAGGACCTGCAAAGGCTCAGCATTGGATGATCGGTCGTACTCGCCCAGGACAACAACGTGGCGGCCAGGGCTGCAGTGAGAGTGGGGTTGGGCAGCCGCAGGGAGGGCAGAGTGACAAGAGAGGGGCATCCGGGGGAAGGAGGTGGGGAGAGGTGGGCTCGGGGGCAGGTAGAGTGGGAGTACTCACCTGACATTGCAGTGGGCAGCAGTGACCACCCAAGACTGGCTGATGAGGGAACCCCCGCAGAAGTGGAAGCCGCTTCTGTCCTGGGGTCAGGGGTCAGAAGTAGGGGTGGGCTCAGGCTGCACCTAGGCATGAAGCACCTGGTACCCTGCCCCACCCCTGGGGTGCATGTACCTGCAGGGACACCTGCCAGGGCCAGGAGCCCGACACTGCATTCTCTCCGTTGACAATCCTCTGGCTGAAGCTCAGTGCCGGCTTGATAGCAGGAATGCCGCAGCCTGGCCATTGGGATGGTGAGGACCTACTTCCCACACCCCCACAACCCCACCACCTCTCCCCACCTCCTCCTGGGTCCAAATTGAGAGGGCTCGTCACTACCCCTTCTCACCCTGAGAATCTCTAGGTATCTTGGTTACCTATGTCCCCAAATTCTGTCCGTTCTCTAACATCTCTCTCCACCCTTACTTCCCATTGTTCCCCAACTTCACCCCCACCCTCCAACTCAGGCCATTTTTTTCCTGACCCCTGGGATAGTCTCCTCCCTGGCTTCGCCACCTGCTCCAGCCTCAACAGCGAGAGGCTTCTCCCTAAACTACACGTCCAACCTTCACTTCTCAGCTTCCTAAACCCTCCCTGGCTCCCAGCTCTGGCCTGATCTCCTGTCCCATTTGTGAGACCAGTCCCTGCCCACCTCTTGCCCCGACCCTCCCGCAACCCTGGCACATCCTTTTTCCTTTCCCCACTCTGTTCACCTGGTTCCCTTCCAGCCAGTCCAACTCCTTCCCCGAGCCCCTGGGCAGGAAGCCTGGGCTGGTTTTAGGAGGCGGGTTGCTTTAGGGCTGGTCATCAGGGCTAGTCCAGGCCCACTCACCCCAGGAGGAGCCGAGGAGGACCAAGTTAAGGGTCAGACTGAGCAGCAAAATTGTGGCAGGCATGAGGTTGAGAGCTGGACCTGCTTTTATGGTTCTCCTCGTCCTTGGGCAAAAGTCCTAGGCCTGAGACCAAGCCAGCTGTGTGGGCTCAGCCCCCTCCCATGCTCTGGTCAGGAGGAGGGTCTCTAGGCCAAGGTCCTGGACCCAGGCCTAGACTTTATCAGATAGAGCCCAGGTGTGGGGCTCTCACCTCCACCCCCCAGAGCCTGGTCTCTGATTGGCTCCCTGAACCACCTCACATCCCAGGTGTTGAGTGCTGAGTAGCAAGGACTTAAACGGTTAAGTTAGGTCTGTGTGGACTACCTGGTGGCTGGGGTCAGGGAAGTTTCTCAGGGCTGTCAGGGGCACAGACAGAGAGGTGTGCTCAGCACCCAGGGGTGTTCCTGATGGGTGGAGGGAATGTCCAGCTGTGCTGTGGAGGGCCAGGGCCATGCGGCCAGGACAGGGGTTCTGGCAGGTCACAAATCTAACCGCATCTCAGTGATTTCTCACCAACTTGGAACAGGAGTCCGTTTGCCCAAAGAGATGGTGACTCTCCCACAGCACACTGGGTGCGTTTGGACCCAAACCGTCATCTGGTTCTGAAGCCCACACTCTTACTGATGAGATGACGCCTGGGAGAGGCCTGGTACACAGTAGGGTAAGGTGTGAGCCCTTGGTGACTGGCTGACCCTGGATGGAAGTTACAGGTGCAAGGGTGACAGCCCTCAAATCTCTGACAGCCTCCAGGCCTTGGGGCTCCCGTGGGCAAGCTCTTGGTGTCCACAGCCCATCTGAGGAAGAGAAGACAGCCCTGTGTGCAAACCTGCAATGGGTAAGTTGACTGGGCTCCTAGAGGTGTGGGGGGTGCCAACTGACCCCAAACTTCAGTCAAAAAAAATAAGATGTGCTAATGGTTGAACAGAGGGATGGAAATGTGATCAAGCAAACACAACAATAGTAACTGTAAAGTCGACTGTGGGTATATAGGTGTTCAATGCAATTCTTTCAGCTTCTATGTTTAAAAATCTTCATAATAAAATACTGGGGGGAAAAGCACAATCAGGAGCCCAGGGAAGTCCAGCTCAGAGTAGACCCTCCCCAGGGGTTGGGCAGACTCTTAACAGTTCCGAAGCTCCAGTGGAATCAGCTGTTCTGAGGGCAGGATGCTCCTGCCAGCACATGGCACCTAGGCTGGCCTCAGTGGGTGCTCAGCAAAGGTTTGCTGGATAAATGTGTCATGTCATCTCTCTCTGCATGAGCCCTGTGACGCCTGTCAGCCCAGCAAACTTGGGAGGTCATTCCCCCCCTCCCTTCACAGCTCAGCACGTGCAAATAGAAGTCCTGTTTGGTGTTAGCACCTCAGGGTGTGCCTGGTCAGGTGAGCGGTTGCGCAAAGGTATTTCAGGGGTGAGGAGTGTTCTGTGAGAACTTGCCCTTAGAGTCAGGGAGCAGCTCCTCTATCAGCATTGAGGGCTAACTCTGTGGGGTCCATGGGGGCCTCCTTGACAGAGGTGTGGGCTTTGCCATGGGACACTGATGAGCCAGGTAAAGGCTGTAGGTGGGGCAGTGTGTGGGGCCTTCTGGGTTTTACAACAGTCCCCAGTGGACTAGAGGGCAAGAGCAAGGCACTGGAGTGGTAGAGGGACCTCTATGGTGTAGAGAGTCAGGAGCGGGCTTTCCACCTTGAGCTGCAATGCTTGCCAGGGCTGGGGTTCTGGAGGAGTAGATGCCTAAGGCGATGGGTAAAGGGCACCTCTTAGGCCAGGCCCTGGAGCCATGCAGGGAGTGGCCCTGCAGGTGTACATTAGCCACAGAGTCCTGATGGCTGCTTGTCTCCCCCTCCACCCAGGAACACAGCCATCTGTTTAGGTGTTTTGGTTTTTTTGTTTTTTAAAGATTTTATTTATTTATTTGACAGAGACAGACACAGCGAGAGAGGGGAAAAGCAGGGGGAGTGGGAGAGGGAGAAGCAGGTTTCCCGTGGAGAAGAGAGCCCAATGCGGGGCTCGATCCCAGGACTCTGGGATCATGACCTGAGCTGAAGGCAGATGCTTAACTGAGTGGGCCACCCAGGAGCCCTGTTTAGGTGTTTTGTATTTCCTGGGTTTACTCCCCCCTTGTTCCAAGCCCTAAGCATCATCCTACTTCACTCCACTTCCATGGCCTGCACGGTTTCCTCCAGCAGCTCCAGGGTCAGTGGCTTCACTGTCTGGGACAGCACAGCTGTGGTCCCAGGGGCAAAGTGGTAGTGGCTGGGCCTGGGAGAGGAGAGGGACGGCCTCTCAACTTGGGCCCATCATGTGGCCCATCCTCTTCTTGCAGCCCCCATCTCCCCTGCTACTGCCCCATCCTCCCCAGCAGTCCCCCATCTCCCATGCTCCCACCTCTCTATGGGCTTTGTGGGTGAGCTTAATGTTCTCAGAAGCTTGGCGCCGGTCCGCATTATCACACATGCATCCACACTGCCCCCAGAGCCCAGGTCACCCAGGATCCCTGCAGTGACAGCTTCCACTAGCAGCTCCTGCGCGGCCTCCAGCTGTGATGATATGTGTGCTTGAGGCCCGATGGACCCTTCTGGTATCATCTTCAGGCTACAGCCTAGAGGTTTTGTTCATCTCGAAGCCCAGATTATTTACCATTTGCTCATACCCAGACTCCTCTGTTTCCCTATACCCCCATCGACCCCAAGCTCCCTTGCCCTGGTCTCTGCCTCCCTCTCTCCAGAGACGCTGTGTTCCCAGTGCCCCATCTTCACAAACTTCTCTTGAGTCACTTAAACTTGTGGTTCTGCTTCCAGTGCTGTCCACCCAACCAATGTGGTCTTGCTCCCCAATCTACTGGCTCACTGCTTTTTCCCTTTTGGACCTTAGGCACCTCTGAAGCAACACATGTCATCCACTTTCATCCCACCCTAAACAAAATCCAGACTCCAGACCCCACTTGCCCGTTACCTCCTCCCTCAGCTTCAAAGGGTCCTGAGCTTTGACTTCTCCAGGACTGGCACTGACGGTTGTCTGCTGGAACAGCGCTTCTTCACTCGGACTCCACTGGCCCCTCAGTCTCCATTCAGTCGTCACCTCCAAGAAGCCTTCCCTAACCTCTAGACTAGGCCATGATACCTCACCTTTGTGTTACCAGAGCTCCCGCGTGCCCTACCCATCAATGAACGCGTAGTGAGGGACAGCGGTTGCTTACCCTCATGTTCGGCTGGAACCGATCCTCCAGTACGGCCAGGGCGGCGTCCTGGCCGGAACCTGCAAATAGGAGGGGCATCTGAGGTCAGTCGTGGCCACCCGGCCGCGGGACGAACGTGAGGCCACGGTCGCAGGGTCGGGATTCGTGGGGAAGGGGCGGAAGCGCTCACCCAGGGCTGTGAAGGGCAGACGGCTGTAGGAGCCGTGGGGGTGCACGCTGTAGAGCTGCGGTCCAGTCAAGTCTACTCCGCCCACTATCAGCGACGCGCCCACGTGGCCCCGGTACCTTTTCACGAATGGGCGTGGTCAGCCCCAAGCCCTGGGCTTCAGGCCCCGCCCCTCCGTGACACCGCCCTCGGACCCGAGCCCCGCCCGTTCCTGTGGTCTGGCGCCCCGGTACTAACATTGCTCCTTCCTGTTGCCCAGCTCCTCTTAGGTCGGCCTTTTCCGGTCTCCGGGGCTCTCGCAGCCCCGCCCTTCCTCCTGTCCTTCCTCCTGTCCCACATCCTCTCAGTTCCGCCCTCCCTACAGCGGCCCCTCCTCAGGGTCATCTTAGCCCCGCCCCAGTACCGGAAGAGCGTCTGGCGCAGAACGCGCGTGACCGTAGCCACGCGAATCTCCCGGCCCGTGGACAGGGCGTGTAGCTCCATGTTGGACGCCGCCAGCCGCGTGGTCATTTCGGCGTCCGCGGCTACTCCAGCCCCACAGCAGCTGAGAACGAAGAGGGGGTTCGGTGTGGGCGGGGCTAGGGCCTGCGGGGACCGGGAATGGGAACGAGGGTCGGTTCTTGAGTGGGGCAAAGGGGTTGGGGATTTCTCACTAGATTTTGGGGGCGATGAAGTGGATCTTCTCGCAGTTCTTGTCCATCACAACCGAATCGCTAGTGGCCCGCGTATCCGCGCCCAGGATGACCCCGTCCTGGGGAGGGAGAGGGGCCGCTGGCTCAGTGCCTGTCCGATTCCCCAGCAATCCCTCTAAACCCTCCAGTCCCAAGTCCCTGCTCACTTGGAACACAAGGCCCGCGATGGTGGTACCGGTTCTGTGTGCCTGAGGGATCCGGAGCCCTGGGAGGACTCGTTCTAAGGATGCATTTCTGGAAACGGAGTGGAGAGGCCCAGGCTGAGGTTCCTCTTCTGGGACCCCATCCGTCACATCCTCCAGCTCTGTCCTAGCCTCCCTCACTTCTAGGGGTGGGAGCACAGGAACCCAAGTCGCCCAGCACACGCTGCCGCCCCTCCGCCCCCACCAGGAATAAAGGCCCTGGGGCTTCCACTCCCAGAAGCCCTCGTGGAGAACATAGGCAGCACCGCTCCCGACCAACCCCCGCCCCCCCATCACCTCTGGCAGTTCTCGAAGGAGAAGCCCCTTCGGGGCTCTAACGCTGGCTTCAGCATCTGGAGGTGGGCAGGGTGGTCCAGGGATTGGGGGTCTACGTTCGACCAGAGCGGAGCAAGAAGGGCCAAAGTCGGGTGCTCTGTCAGGCAACCCCCTAGCCCTTCTGACGCGTCTGGCTTTCGGTTTCACCTTTCCTCAGAGCGTGGCTGGCCCCTTCTGCAGCTTCTCTTTCACTTTCACCTTCACCTCTGGTCCTGGGCAGCTTGGCAAAGGGGAGATGTCCTTGCCTGGCTTTCCATCCTGCTCCCTAGTCCTCTGAACAGAGGGACAAATGCCTCCGTCTGGCCATTGTTCAGTAGCTCCTCCCCCTTCCAGCCTGAGTCCCTAGCTTTTCCTATCAGTATCCCAACTCTAACCTCAAGTCCCTCAGCCCTAAGGTTGTCACACTGGCCAGGTTTCTGTTACTTGCCTCCCAACAACATCAAGCATGGCTGCCTTTTGTCCTTTGGCACCCTCTTTCTTTCAGCTCTTTTGTTGCCTTTGCCTTCTCCCTGAAACCTGAAACGCCAAAGCTCAGTCCTCCACCATGGTGACCGATCCTTCCTGCTTCCCTCTCTCAGGTGCTGTCTTCCCTCTCTCAAGAGGGATGCTGTGGGGCTGTCCATCTAGTGGCCTGGAGGCATGCTTGCCTCTGCCCATGGCCCAGCCTTAGTTTTCCTCCCAAATGACCCTTTATCTGTCCACATCTTTCTCCTAACCACTGCTTTAGTCTCAGCTAGCCTCGTCTCTCCCCTGAATACTGCACTACCCTCCCTGGCTTCCCCAAGCTTCCTGCCCCTCAGCCCCCACCCCAGGCTACCCTTTACCTTGCAGAGAAGGGACTCTTTCTAGATTGCAAATCTGGTTATGCTCTTACCCTGGTTAACCCCTTCAGCAACTGCATATTGCTCTTAGGCTCAAACCCAAGTCTTTACAGCAGCCCACAGTACCCTTCTCATCCCATCTGATCTCAGAATAGGCACCACCTCCTCTGGGAAGCCTTCCCTGACCCACAAGACTCAGCCCCTTGGTGCTCCCTAAACTTTTCTCTCAGACCACTTAGCTCCATTAATTAAATCTTCATTAGAGAAATTATCTGATTCGTGGCTGTCTCTCCCCCAGATTTTAAACTCTTGCGCTTCTGTCACCCACTTAGCACTCAAAAGGCCCTGTCTAGGGGGGCACCTGGGTGGCTCAGTCGGTTGAGCGTCTTGACTCGTGATTTTGGCTCAGGTCATGATCTCATGGTTTGTGGGGTCCAGCCCTGTGGTGGGCTTTGTGCTCAGCGGGGAGCCTGCTTGAGATCCTCTCCCTCTCCTTTGCCCCGCCCCCCCATAAATAAACCTTAAAAAAAAAAAAGGCCCTGTCTAGTGGTGGGATCCACCTGCCCTTTGGGGAGCGGGCGCGGGACAGCTCACCTCTTCCCTGCCCTGCGCCCTTGGCTCCAAGTGCCCCCATCCGACAGCTGTGTGCGCAGCTACCTCCAGTCCCCCATCCCCAGAGCAGAGGCAGCCTACATAAACAGCTCATCCAGGAGAGTGGGAAGCTCTACATCTCAGGGTTCCATATTCAATCCCAGGCTTCACCAAAGTCCATCTTGCCCTGACCTTCCACAAAGTACCAGGCCTATGGCTGCTACTCAGCGAAGCCTAGTGGGTGCACACTAGTGCCTCCTCCTCCACCCACAGGACACAGGTCAAAGCTTAGAGAGCAAAAGAAGGTCTTTATTCGGGGGGCAGAGGCCCTGGGCTGGCAGTTGGGGGTTCAGGGGTGCTACGTCGGTAGGTACCCAGCAGGATGGCATTGATGTGCTCCAGAGTCTGGTTGCTGAAGACCATGTTGAGGTGCTCTGTCCCATGGAGAGGCAGCAGGTGCACAGGCTGTGGCTGGCGGCTCTGCCAGTGGGCACAGAGCTCCGTGCTGCGTGTGGCCACAGTGTCATCACCGTCCTCGTAGAGCACCCCCACGGGGTCTGTGTAGGGGAAGCCGTGGTCAAAGATGTAGGTGCGGGGTGTGGGCAGGCCCACGCCATACAGACAGTATACTTCCACGCCGGGTGCTGGGAGGCCTGCCAGTAGGTCACGTGACTGGAGCCACATGTACCAGCCTTCCTCAAAGTGCACATCTGCAAAGAAGCGCTGGAAGTCACGGCCTGTGTAGTTGATGCCGGGCGTGGAAATGAACACATGGTCCTCAGGCCATGCCTCGCTGGAGGGAAACATCCAGGGGGAGGTCGTTGATATACGCTGTTCCTCTCTCAGCTTGATGCTGGACATGATCGGGATGCCCTGGTTGTCACCTGTGAACACAAAGCCAGGTGGGTCAGGGAGCCTGGCCACCTCTGGCCCACACCTTGCCTCCCAGCCCAAGCTCAGCCAGATGCTCAGTCTTGTCCCTGGCCAATTCCAACGCTGACTCCAAGCCACAAACTCGGAGCAGGCCTGGCATTCAACAGGTGTTCAATGTGTGCTTAGTGAACGAGAGGCCCTGGTGGCACGTCTGTGGGGCAGAGCTGTAGAGCCTCAAAAGGAGGGAGAAGTTGGTTTCCTGAAGATGGGTGTATATGTGTGTAGATGGGAGGATGGTGCTGGTGGTTCTCCTCAGCCAAGTGTCTGTTGGGCCCTGTGGCCTGGGGCTATGCAGGGGTCAGAGCTATGTTCTTGGGAAGGATAAAATTAGACTGTGTCTGTGTTTGGCCCTTATTGATGGAGTCTGATGGAGTCTTTCCCTCAGCAGATCGTGAGCTACTGGGGGAAGGTAGAGTCTGGCTGTGCCCAGCATACAGTTAGTACTCATACAGTTAGTAGCTGTGCCACTTCTCAGGAAGGGCAGAGGGGCTTCTAGGGTGTGGCCCTGGCTCTGGCAGATCTGTCCTCAGTAGGCAGATCCCTGGAAAATGGGCTCCTGGAAGCAGAAGGCCGCTGAAAGCTGAGTGGGCAGGCCCTGAGACCACAAGGAACAGACGTAGTCCATGTGTCAGATTGCCAGGGTTCACTTCCTTTCTGTTTACTTTCCTTTTGTCACCGAAACACCACCAAAACAGACTTCTGGCAGGAGCTACCAGGCCAGGCCGGGCTCACTGCTCTCAAGGGGCCAGTGACAGGGGCCAGGCCTCAGGGGTGGTAAATAGCACGGTCAGCCAGGCCTTGTGAGCAGAAGCAGGAGTGAGGGCAGGCCCATGGTCAGTTTCATCCCCCTCCACCCCCGGCCCCTCAATGACACGGGTGGTCTGAGGCCCTCTCACCTGAGGCCAAGACCAGCATGGGCTTGATGGAGCCCCCCCAGGGAGCCCCAAGAGAGATGAATCCATCGACGAAGCGGTCCTTCCAGGCCTGGGGCTGGCGTAGCAAGAAATAGAGCAAGTGTAGGCAACCGAGGCTGTGACCAATGAGGAAGACAGGCTTCCCATAGGCAGCATGCATCTCCTCCACCAGCCCGGCGAGCTTCCGGTAGTATTCCTCCTGCTGGCCTGCAGCAGGGTGGATGGGGTCAGGGCAGTGGGGGGTCAGGGCCCACCTGCCCCAAGCCCACTATCTGCAGAGACACTCACTGGGCTCCAGCCGCCAGTCGTAGGGGGCGGCCCGCACCGTCTCGTCCCGCACATACCCGTTGTTGACCAGGTTCTGCACCAGTGTGTGCATGTAACCTGTGGGGAAGGTAGCAGCACTGGAGGCTCTGGCCACAGCTCCTGTGGGCCGGCCACGGCTGCAGCCTGCCCCTTCCCCAATAAACACACCTGCCAGCTTGTTGTTGTCCAGGTACTCAACAGAGTAGGTCTTCCCAAAGCCAGGGACACGGATCTGTACACCAGGGGCATTGGACACGCGCCCAGAGCTGCGGTTGTAGACGACCCTGGGGGCAGTGGGACACTCAGCAGGCCAGCAGCCAAGGGGCCGAGCGTAGGGGCCGGGGCAGAGGGGATGGCACGTACCTTGTGTTATCAATCCAGCAGTCCACTCCAAGGGGTAGGAATATATTGAGATCCAGCCAGATGGTGAAGAAGTCCTCCGTCTTGCGGTAGCACATCCAGTTCACCACATCTGGTTTATCCAGCTTGGCTTCCAGCTGATTCCCCAGGCAGCCAGGCACTGTGGGCGCTAGCCTTCATTCTGAATTCCTTGGATTCCTCCCTTGCCCCGCCCCCCATGCCTGTTCCCCAACCTCTCGCTTTGTGACCAGCTCCGCCCCTCCATCTCCCACACCCTCAACCTCCAGGAACTAAGGACTTGATCCTTTACATAAACAGGATCCCACCCCATCCCCCCAGCAGCCCAGGGCCCAGGTTCCCCTCAGGCAGGGAAGGTGCAGGGGCCAAGGCCACTGACCCCTGTCCGCAAAAGGCAAACACCTGGCCTGGCTCTCCATTCATGCCTAAGTCCAAGGTGAGAACAAACAGCTATGGGGGAGTGGGGGCTGGGCCTCGGAGGAGGAGGCAGGCCTTGATGGGCCTCTTCTGTTTTCCTGGGCTGGGCATCTTGTCCTTGCTGGGATGGGGGCTGAGTGGCTGCAGCTGACCACAGCTTGTAATGCCCTGGCCAAGCCCTCAGGCACACCCGCCCCCAACTCCACCCGCCTAGGGTAGACAGCTCAGAGACACAGGAACAGTGTGGTGGGGGAAGGGGTTCATTTCTCTGCAGGAGAAGCCTTTGGACCCTCAAACAGAGAGGCAGGTATCAGGGCGAATGCAGGGGCAGAAGGGCCTTGGCAGGGTCTGCTACCAGGGGGCTGGGGCCCAGGCTCCCCGAGGTCTGGCCTGGTGCATCAGGGGCCTGGCGGGGGCTTACCGAGGATGACGGGCCGTGTGTGGTTACTGAGCTCAGCCTTGGGCGTGGTGTGCGGGGGGAAGAGCACATTGAAAAGCCAGAAGGGGGAGGCAGGGGGGAGCAGCAGCCCGAGCAGCAGCAGCCCCCAAGGCCATGGGGAGCCCGACGGCCCCATTCCAGCCCTAGTGCCTACTGCCCACTGAAGCAGTCCTGGGCTGGCCTTATCTGGAGTGGTGGTGGGAGGGGCCCTAAGGCCAGTGGGAGGGACAGCCTGGCCAATGGGGGTGGCCAGAGGTTGCCGGGAAGGGGCATAGCCTCGGAGCCAGCTCTGGGCCTGGTTTCAGTTCCGCCTTCTTCCCTTGGTGCCAGGGGAAACAGAGCCGGGGCAGCAGGAGGCCCAGAAGTACACAATGTTTTATTGAAAAAAGTCAGGCCCCAGCTGGCCAGTTCCATTCGGCTTGGCTTGGTGGGGGTCCCTGCCCACAGGAGCCTGAGCCAGGTCTTCCTGCAGGTGGGCTGGGCCAGACCCCCCTCCCCTGTCGCCCTTCCCCTCCTCTCTGATGGTGACATCCCAACAATAAATATGCAATAAATAGCGTTCCTGGGCAGGCTGCCTTCAAATCTCCCATGAGCCCCCCTCCCCCTCCCAAGTCTTCTCCCGCCAGGACAGGCCTCCTGGGGTGCTGGATGGGGAAGTCCCCAGACCTCTCAGGGTCCTGCAGAAGCTCGGATCCATTGCCATTACCAGCCCAGGCCTGGTCTTCCAAGGAGACCTAGCAAAGCTGGGTCCAGGACAGGGCTGTCGGGTGAGTGCTGGGAGAAGGCTGTTACCCTGGACACCTCCACTCCAAGCCAAAGGTGTATATCCGGCTCAGGAGTAGATGGTGATCACTTCACGGCCACCTCCGCGCACCAACAGCACACGCTCGAGGCCCTCGGTCAGCACCTCCAGGAACTCCATGTCTGCAGGGCGTCAGGTCAAGGAGGCAGCACCAGGACCAAGGGGCACCCAGGGAAGTTTGGCCTATTAATCAGAGCTGGGGTAACCTAGCACCCCCCGGGGGCATCTAGGGAGAAGAGGTCCTGGCCTGACCCCATGCGTTGTCCACCTCCCCACTGCCAGCCTTTCCACCAAAGGATACAGTTCTCATCACCTTCGCTGTTCTTGGGGGGGCCAGGCATGTTCAGTAGAACCAGGCGGGCATCGTGGGAGCGCGTGACGATGACTTCGTTGAGCTTCACAGCGGTGTGCATGCGCCGCACATTGGACTGGTCCCTGCAGGTAATGCAGCTGATCACAGGCCCCACCCCTGGCCCACCCGAAGACCCTGTCCGCCCCCAGCCCACCTCCACTCCCAGACCCCCGTGTGGTGGGGTCTGTTTTTGCTGCACTCACGGCTTAATATGCACCAGCTCCCGGAAATTGTCAGGGGCGTGGCTGGGGTCCCAGGGCTCCGCCGCCATGTACTTGTCCCGTGTCCATGTCATCTGGATTTTGTCAGCCCCAGCAGCAGACTCGTCTTCCTCGTCGGAGTACAGGCTCTCCAGCCGCAGGGCTGAGTGTCGGTCCTTGACCAGCTGGGCCTGAGAAAAATCAGAGGTGGCCTCAGTGCCACGGGAAAAGGGGGACCTGGATGGCCCAACACGATCACTTGGCCTCCGGGAAATGGGTACTGACTTGGGTGAGGCTGGGTGGGGTGCGCCATTCTGATTCCCCAAAGTGATGGTGTCTCCAAAGCCTGACCTGCCACCCGCCCCTGCCTGAAATGAGAGAGCCACTGACTTCTCGCTCCCGCTCCGTCTTCGTCAGCCTCATCTGCCGCAGCATCTGGGAGCGCTGTTCCATCATCAGTGTCCGCTCATAGGTGTACGCGGAGATATCGCTGTTATGCTGGGGAGAGAGTGGAGCACGAAGAATGGGCTGCATGCAGCCGGCTATCCACAGGGCCACGGGGGCAGGTGACTCACCATCTCTACCACCTCCACTTCTGCCTCAAGGCGCAGGTGGTACAGGAAGACAGCCAGATCCTTCTTCATCTGGATGCTGTTGTCGTCCATCTGGGCCACGGTGAAGATGCGCATCCGGCACTTCCTCCACACCTGGGGCACAGGAGCAGGTAGGTGGCTGAGTCACATTCCAGCCCTCCCAGGGCCCAGCCCTGCCCACCTGGGTCCACCCGCCTGGCCCACCTTGTGCTGGCGCAGCAGGAAGGGCAGAAGCATGAGCATGCCCCCGTCGTGCACGATCCACCAAACGTCAATGTGGCCCTCCAGGTAGCGCTCATGGTTGCTGGGGTAGAAGGCGATGTTCTTGGGCACAAGCAGGGCCAGGTGGGCCGCCGTGGTGCAGCGCACAGTGTCTGGGGGACAGGGGCCACTACTGAGTGCCAGCCTATGGCCCTCCGGCCTCCACCCTGACTTGATCCCCACAGGGTCCAGCCACATGGCCCAGCCCAGGACCTGTCCCATCACGCACCAATAAAGGTCTTCCAGGCCCGTGGGTCCTCGCTCTGTCGCCAGCCATAGGGCCAGCCCAGCACCACAGAGTTATGCCTCATGCCGCCCAGGCCGCAAGATTGGATGAGGTGGGCCAGCCCCTCTCGCACCTTGCTGGCTACCACCACCTGGCAGAAGCCCTTCACCTTCTCAATCTCCATCATGTTCTTGATTGTCTGTAGGGAACACACAAGGGTCAGAAGACAAAGGCTGTTAGTGTTCCCTCTGCTGGGCTCCCTCCGCACAGAATGACGTGGGGATAAGGGTTGGGGAGGAGAAGGAGGTAAGCTGCCCACCCAGAGGCCATGTTTTCCGGGTGGGACAGCCATACCCCCTTGCTCCAGCTCTTAGGGGGCAGCGATGCTGTCCACCTGGCTGGCCAGGATTTGTCCCCTTCTCCTAGGAGTCAGCTGCAGCCCAGACACCTCTAGTCTGGCTCAGCACCCCGCCCCCTAGAGCAGGCACCTGCTCGGCAGCCTGGGCCTCGCCATAGCTCTCCAAGAAGCTGCCCTGGATGACAGAACCGACGATGGTCAGGCCCTTGCCGGCCTTCAGCTGGGAGGCGAAAGTGAGGAGCCGTGGGTACTTCACGTGAAGGTCCTCATCCAGCTTCAGCAGCACGAGCAGCTGAGGCCTGCAGGGCCCAGATGGAGAGCCTGAGACCTGGGCCACAGGTTTCCAGAGAGCCCCTCTTCTTCCTCCTTTCATAGTTCACAGGCCCCCATAGGTTTGAGGAGTAAGAATCCAAGGGCAGCCCTGACAGCCCTGGGACAGGGATCATGGACTCGGGAGGGAGGGCCAGCACCTCCTGACCTTCCACCCTCACAGCTCCCCCCGAGAACCTAGAGTGGCTCCTGCCAGCCTGGGTGTGAACTCACCGCCAGTTCTTGGTGTGAGGAGGCCCCTCCTCTAGCCGCAGCAGTGCATAGCGGGCAGCACTCAGGGACAGGCCCCGGATCCCGTCACCCCACTCCTTTTCAGCCCTGCGGAGGCCACCACGAGCTGGTGAGCCTCTGGTCCCTCCCGTGGGATTCTGTCCGTGTGCATGTGAGATGGCCGGCAGCCAGCCCCTGAGTCACAGACCCCCAGCCCCGCACCCATAGTGGCTAGTAATAGATGGCTCAGCTCCCCCAAACCTGGCATACAGACCACCCCACCTGCCCCGACCAGGTGGCAGCCCCTCACTCACCCTTGGTATTCGATGTACTTGTAGATCATGCCTGCAATGAGCATGGCGACCAGGGCATAGTACCAGGAGGAGACAAACATAAGGGCCAGGCAGAGGCTCATACCCAGGAAGGACAGCGCCCTGGGCCAGAGTGGGGAAGGGCCAGAATCAGGGAAAGATCAGTAGGGTCCCAAGCCAAGCCTCCAACACCCCAATCTCTCACCAATAGCAACGCTACCCAGGAAACTCAAACCCCATCCTGGGGGGGAGCTCTTGGCTTCCCCCAAAATTCTTGTGTCAGAGGACTTGGCTCGGGTCCAGATGGTGCTTACCAGTGATAGTACTTGAACCGGGGCCGCCAGTTGGGTGTCCTCAGGAGCGTCTGCACAGCACAGGCCAGGTTCACAAACAGGTAACACATGAGAAAGAACCTGCAGCACAGGGAATGGCTAGTACAGAGCGGCCTCCTTGGCAGCCAGCTGCCCGACGTACCCGCCCTTCCTCAGGCTGGGCCTGGACTCGGAACTGGGAGTTTCGCGGCCCCGCCCTGTGTGGTCAGGTCTCCTCAGCTACACAGCCTGAGGCAGATGGGCCTACTGTAGGGGTGTCCACAGAGCCAGCTCCTAGAGGACAGGCAAGCGTCTGCAGGCAGATGAGGTGGGAAGGGGGCTGCAGGTGGGAGGAACAGTGGCAAGAGGATGGTGCCGAGGAGCGCTCAGTGTCAGGAGATGGCTAGACAATATTCAGGCCTCTGGCCAGGTGACCAGTTGGATGAAGGGCTGTTGTGAATATGGAGAGAACCTCGAAGGAACTTGAAAGGGCCATTTTGCATGCCCTGGATTAGGGACACGTGAGGGACTCTGGTGGGTGTGGGAGACCAGCACATGGAAGCCTGCCACGCCAGCCCGCCAGCTCAGGGGCACAGGGCTGAGGAGAGGGGGCACCAACCTCCACCTTCAGCTGGCAGGAAAGGAAGGGCAGAGAAGAAGGCAGCACAGCTTACTAGAAAAGGCATGCCAGCAGGCAGAAACCTCCAGGAAGGAGAAGTGGTCAGTCCCACTGGGGCCGCGGGGAAGAAGCACCCAGTAAAGGCTGAGCTACAGCCTTGGGCTTGGGCAGAGAGGGCTCACCACCCGATGAAGGTGGCAAGAACAGTTTCAGGTGTGCAGTTACGCACGCGTGGAGCTGGGCAGCAGTGGAGGAGGTAGGCGGAGGTGAGCTGGGGGAGTGAAAGAGCGCGATTCTGGCAGGCCTGGCTGTGGCTGGGGGGCTGCTTCAGGGGGAAGGGAGGACCTGTGAGGCCAAAGGCCGAGTGGGGCAGTGAGGGGTAGTCCAGTGATAGCCGAACAAGCACGAGGGAGTGGAACGAGATGTGTGAGGAGAAACGGAGTAGCACTGGCAGAGGGGAACATGGTAACCACGGGAGCTCTGCCTCAGGGACCCCCGGAAATTGCCACATGCTGACCAACTCGCATGGGGCACTGAGGGACTCAAATGCCCAGCTGACTCCAGGACTTTAAAAGCAAACAACTTTGAAAACAGATGGGCGGGGCAGTGGTGGCTTCATCAAGGCACTCTGGGCTGCCTGCTCTGGGATCTCCCACAGAGGAGTCTGGGACCTGCTGGTCTCTGCAAAACCCCGCATAAGTGCCAGGCTCACTCCTGTACCACCTCCATACCGAGGTAGGCTGAGTTCTGCCATGCACACTTCTCCCCACACAGCCTTACCCGGCTCCCAGCTGGACCCTCAACACCGGACAGGGGCACAGGAAGGTGCTGGGGCCCCGGAATGAGGGGTGCTGAGGGTACAGGAACCCTTCCCAAGACCATTCCCCTGCCCCAGCCCCCAGCTCACATGGACAGAATGGGGGCCACCATGTCAAGGGAGGCGATGAGGATGCCCAGCTCAGCAATGAGTGCCGTCAGGAGGAGTGCCCACGTTGGTTCACCATTTGCCTTTCCATGGCCAAATATCTGCATGCATCAGAGTCAGTGGGGTCAGCAAGGGAAGATGCTGGTCCCATCATCCCCATGCCACACCTTGGGCCACAAGCCACAGCCTGGCCTCCATCATCCCCAAGTCCATCCTCTGGGGCTTAGGTCACATCCACAGCTGCCCCGATAGACACCACAAGTTTCTCTGCCCTCCCATCTCTCCAGGCCTCTCTGCTGTAGATGAGCCATAGAAAGGCCACGAGGATTCTGGGCCCAAGTAGCTCTGCCAACAGCAGAGCAGGGCAGGGCAGGGCAGGGCTGGGGCAGCGCTCAGCAGCTTCCCAAGGATGGCTACACGGCCCCGGGGCCACTATAGGCCCCAGCAAGATGCAATGCATCTATATCCCCTACCTCTCTACCCCCGCCAGTGTGAGAGGCCAGCCGCACCCATGCTGTGGGGGAGCGCAGAGAGGCTCACCCTGAGGAAGGGAATGATGTTGTCCTTGGCGATGGCCTGCAACAGGCGTGGTGCCCCAGTGAGGCTTTGCAGGCCAGCACCACACGTTGAGAAGAAGGAGCCGATGACGATGACCCAGGGCGAAGGCCAGGCCAATGTGCCCACCACCAGGTTCCTGCTGACGCCATCGCCGTACCTGCAGGGGCCAGGCTCAGGCCATGCTCCATGCAAGGAGCCCCCAAACCCTGGGGAGGGGGGGTGCTGCCCAGAGTGAGAGATGTCAGCAGTCAGGAAGGATGGCTATGGTGGGCAGAGTCCTGGCCCCTCAGCAAAGAAGACGAGTTCCTCAGCCCCTATCCTTTCCCTCAGCCCAGCCCTGGTCCTGATGCCACCATCCTCTCAGAAGAAAAAGTCCTGGTGGGGCCGGACTCACCTGGTGGCACAGACCACCATTGGCAACCAGCAGGCTGAGGACATGTGTGGGACCACGTGTACGAGGGGAGCTGGTGTCAGGGCAGGCCAAAGCTGAGCCCCCTGCCACAGGGAGGGGCCCAGCTCACTCACTTGTCCCGGAGTACCACACCCTCGATGCAGGCGCCAAAGAGAACCACACTGCTGAAGTCTGCGGCCGCGTCAAGGAAAGCTAGGCCTCGGCTGCCACTGCCGCCCCCACTCGGCCCCCACACAGAACCCACGCGCCCCCTGCCCCGGCAGACAGCTGGGACAGCCCCTCGAGCGCGTGCACGCGAAGAGTGAGGTACGCATGCGTCCACGCGTGTGTGGGGTGTGTGCGCCTGCGCAGACCAGGGCCTCCCGCCCGCGGCCTGGGAAAGGATACACACAAGGGAGGTTGTAACAATGGCCAGAATGGTCCCCACAGGGATGGACTTCTGGGCATCACGGAGGTCCCCGGAGCGGTTTGAGCCAGCCATAATGCCTCCAAAACCAACAAGACACCCTCAGGGGCTCCCCGGGAGCGAGGGCAGGGCCGGGGGAGGGGGGCACGGGCGAGAGGTACCCACCTGTTACGGAGGGAAAGAAGATGCCAACCAGCACGGTGAAGGATGTCGCGATGTCAGCCACCACGTACAGGGGCAGGCTCTCCTTCAGGCCGAGGGCATCTGTGGAAGGCAGCCCGTGCTTCTCCACGACCTCGCCCTTCTCCAGGTAGGTGCTCCACAAGTTTTCTGTGGGGGCAGCAGCGTCAGCACCGCAACCCTGCTCACTTCCCAGGGGCAGCGTGGGGCAGCTCAGCCAGAGGCTGCAGATGTAGGAGGCTTAGGGGTTCGGAATGGGGGCCAGCAT